TGCCAATAACAAACTTTGTATGATTGTGGATAATTTCAAGAAATTTCGAAGATAATATCATAAATATAGATAACGATAAAGTATAAGTTATTTTTAAGTGTGGTGAATTATGGCCAATAGGAATGTATGTATTCACATAAAAAAATATTTAGTTCGAGTCTTTGCACAGAAATATTGCCAGGTATTTTTTATTTGTTTTTTTCTCGTATAATTTTAATATTTCGTATTACTGAGTGTTTTTTTTTACACAGCAGTTCTCAAAAGCCAAAATATCGTCATTTTATACCGATCAACGGAGAACTTTAAAATGAAAAAAATTGGCCAATGGTTATACAATACAATTAGCAAAACCTTAGAGAAAGTAAATACTATCACCGAATAGCTTTCATCTGGTGCAGAAAAATTGGTACCGTTAATGTTATTAATGATAATATTAAGGAAACTAAAAAATAAAAACATAGGTGTATGACTAATCATGATATATATTTTCAAAGTGTTACTGACATTAACTGGTTATCCAAGATTGCTCTGACGTCTAAAAGCCTTCTAAGGATTTGCTGGGGCCGGGCGATATTCTTTCATTGAAATTTATAAGTTCATCGAAAGATTCGTTTTCTTTTTATTGAAGATCTACTTTTGTTGATTATATCTGTAAACATGTGTCTAGGCAAAATCCACTCGAATTAATCTTAATTTGATTAGGTAATGCAGAAGTACATGCAAGTGACAATACACTTTCCATTATACATTAAATTGACAAATGACTTTTCATTATATATAAGTGAAAAATGGAAACAACACGTTATAAATTGCATGCGTCCGAAGTGCTTTCTGGATTTAACTTCATCAAAACCGAATATTTGAAAGTCTAAGATGTATAAGAACCGAAACAGTTGAAGAGCTAAATGACTAAAAAGTAACGTAGAGAACGATTGATACGGTTGAAAGATCACAGTTGTTTTTCTTCTTTGACATAATCCTGTTTCATTGTATACCATAGCAAATAATGAGAAATCAAACATTTCCTTATATTTCTATATACTATATATTTATATTCTGATATATATATATATATATATATATATATATAAATATATACAAATCGTCTAAACATCAGCCCGACAATGTTAGATCTGTAAATTTGCTTTCGCAAATTTTTTGTTCTTCCCTCGCTGGGATTCGAACTCATGCTACTGAGATATCGTGACACCAAATCGCCTGCACTGTATCCGACGCGCTAGACCACTCTACCACCTAGGCTTCACAAAATTAAAGCTTTTGGTGGCCGGCTGTTACCTTTCCTCGTCAGTTTTAATCTAGAGTCGTAATACAGTACATGATATATAAGGCATGAAGAATGAATTGTAACAGATCAGCTAAAATATCTATTGTAAAGGATCCTACAAATTAATGCAAGATACAGTCACAGAAATAATTATATTTATAAGTACATCTGAATCAGTGACAACTCTACAACAGATTTATCCATCGGATCCTCAGCAGTGATGGTGATACATGCCTGTGTACATTTTGTATATACAACTCGTCTAAACATCAGCCCAACAATTTTAGATCTGTAAATTTGCTTTCGTAATTTTTTTGTTCTTCCCTCGCCGGGATTCGAACTCATGCTACTGCGATATCGTGACACCAGTTCGCCTGCACTGTATCCGACGCGCTAGACCACCCGACCACCTAGGCTTCATTTTAATAAAGCTTAATAAAGCTTTCGGTGGCCGGCTGTAACCTTTCCTCGTCAGTTTTAATCTAGCGTCGTAATACAGTACATGATAATTAAGGCATGAAGATGGAATAGTTACAGATCAGCTGAAATATCAATTGTAAAGGATCCTACAAATTAATGCAAGATACAGTCATAGAAATAATTATATAGCGCGAATTGGTGTCACGATATCTCAGTAGCACCAGTTCGAATCCCGGCGAGGGAAGAACTAAAATTTGCGAAAGCAAATTTACAGATCTAACATTGTTGGGCTGATGTTTAGACGAGTTGTATACACAGAATGTACACAGCCATGTATTACCATCACTGCTGGTGATCCGATGGATAAATCTGTTGTAGAGTTGTCACTGGTTCAGACGTACTTATAGATATAATTATTTCTGTGACTGTATCTTGCAATAATTTGTAGGATCCTTTACAATAGATATTTCAGCTGATCTGTAACTATTCCATCTTCATGCCTTAATTTTCATGTACTGTATTACGACGCTAGATTAAAACTGACGAGGAAAGGTTACACCCGGCCACCGAAAGCTTTAATTTTGTGAAGCCTAGGTGGTCGGGTGGTCTAGCGCGTCGGATACAGTGCAGGCGAATTGGTGTCACGATATCTCAGTAGCATGAGTTCGAATCCCAGCGAGGGAAGAACTAAAATTTGCGAAAGCAAATCTATAGATCTAACATTGTTGGGCTGATGTTTAGACGAGTTGTATACACAGAATGTACGCAGCTATGGATCATGTATCACCATCACTGCTGGTGATCCGATAGATAAATCTGTTGTAGAGTTGTCACTGGTTCAGACGTACTTATATATATATATATATATCCTTTACGACAGACAAAATAATATATATATACGTCTAAACATGTGGCAACTTAATGACAGAACTTTTCCATCGGATATCTGTAAATTTGCGTTCTCAAATTTTGTCTTTCCCTCAGCGGAATTCGAATCCTTGCTTATGTGATATCGTGGCAACTCCACCTGCACTGTGTCAAGCGCTCTTGATCACTCCACCAGCTGGGATATACATCAATATACATTGTAGTTATATATATAGAGAGACATTGATTGTCGAAATCCGGATATGGTGTACTAATTTTGCACCTTTTGTTTGCGGTTGACCATCTTTTCCGCAAGTTTATTTTTTTCTGTTTTGTTTTAAATCAATATTTAATTTCCATTTTGTTACATCTTGTGATCCGTTTATTTGGCATTCGCCAGTGGCAGTCAGCAGGGTTTAAGAATATCCGTTGTTCGACGTGCTAGTCAAATGCGTTTTGTTAAAATATACTTTTTCACTTTTTCGGTCTTTTGGAAAATGTTGTTTGTGCTGTATTTAGACCCCTCTACCAAGAATTTTTTTTTGCATGCACACGTATAAAAATTGCGGTTTTTATCCAACGCAATCATAGGTTTGAACGTTGTTTTCAATTTAGACTTGTATATATATATATATATATATACATAATTACTCTAAATATCGGCACAACAATGTTAAATCTGCAAATTTGCAGAAGCAAATTTTTGTTCTTCCCACGCCGGGATTCGAACTCATACTATTGGGATATCGAGCCAACACCGCCTGCACTGTTGGCCAGCGCTCTAGACCACTCGGCCACCTAGACTGAACTTAAAATTTTAGTAGAATTTAGAGTTGTAACACAGTTCATGATATATTAGACATGAAGATGGAATTGATTGCAAATTAGCTAAATTATCTGTCGTAAAGGATCGTAAGATGGAGTCACAGAAATAAGTATTTGATATAAGTACGTCTAAACAGGTGACAACTCTACAACAGACTCATCCATTGGATCACCAGTGAAGGTGATACACGGCTGATAACACATATTATATTCATAATTACACTAAATATCATAAAATGAGAGGTCATACTAAAAAACAATTATGTTAGATTTTTTTCTCAATTAACAGACATTTGATTTTATATTAATAAAGGTGTATTTGTAAGTTTGAATACTGTGATACTGGTTGACCTCCTAGGGTCAGAACGCTTAGATAAAGCATTAGGACTACTAATGATGTTCCAGGGAATTGGTACTATCCTAGGCCCACCAATATGTGGTAAGGTTTATAAGTTATTCAAAAAGAGGCAGGAGGTTACCAAGGGCCCATTCAAAACTCATTAGTCGAAGAAAAACTGACAATTCCGTTGCAAAAACGAAATACGACGAAAATGAAAACCTTTCCACTGGACACTACATTGAAAACTAAAGACTGTCCAACAAGAAACCATCTAAAACCAATTGTCCCCAGGGGCTCAGGAAAGGTTAGAAGATCCAGCTACACGTGACACATGTTACTCTTATAAAATACATTGAAAAGAAATAAAGATTAGACATCTCACAACAGCGGATTGGTAATTAAATCTTACCCAACCTTAAGACATCACCTAATTTGTAATCCATCGATCATTTAAATTTTCAAACCCTAAAACCAATTTGAAATTATAAAAAGAGAGAAACAAGAATTTTAGGACGACGGATATACAAGACTTTTACCTGTAAAAAGAACACAGACACTAACAAAGTATAAGGTCAAGCGACGACTTTTAAGAGAATTGACATCGATAAACATTGAACAAAACAAAAACTACCAAAACATTGAACATAGAAAGTGACTTCTTATTAAAATTAAAAAAACAAAATACCTTGTACTAACAAGGCAGATGTACAAACAAATTAAACAAATCAAAAGCAATAAGGCTGGTGTACGGTCAACCAAGGTTGTCGTATGGAAAAACAAGACAAATCATGAGAAACAAGGCAGATGTACAACCAAACATAATAAATCATGACCAACAAGACAGTGTACAGCTAAAAAAGATTGAGAGAAATAGTACAGATAAACAACCAAGCAAGACGAATCAAGAGTATCAAGGCAGATGTACGACCACACTAGAAAATAGCAAGGGCAGTAAGACGGATGTACACCAAAACAAGAAAATGCAAGAGCAATTGGGAACGTGTACGACCAAACAAACAGCAATGAAACTATAGCCTTTGGCAATACGAAAAACGTTAAAATTAACCATAACCATGCAAAAATAAAGTTGTTATATGATTCACAAAAAAATTAAGCTTCAACAAATAGGGCATACTTCATATTTCAGTCTGAAATACTGCTCTTATTTATAGATATAAGAAGATGTGATCTCATACATGTTATAGATTGAAGTTTATTTCTAACTTAATGTGTTTATATAATATATAGAAATGTTACTTTCAGGTTGGTTATATGATGGCACCGGCAGTTACAGCATTCCTTTTTATTTTGTTGGCGGTCTGGTTATATTTAGCGGAGTCGTGTTATGTTTTATTCCTCTTTACAGAAGAAGTCAAACAAAGAATTCGTATCGAATAAGTGGAGAATAAGAACAAATTTGACGTCATAAAAGTGCTGTTAATATTCATTTCCAGCTAATTCTTGCAGACCGTAAAAATAAAAGACATATTACGACGCAAAGTTCATTTTATCTATTGTCTGTAGAAGACATAAATATTTTAAAAGTGTTTAGGTCAAGTTTTATCATAAATCTATGTTTTGCCTATAAAGGATGTACACCTCTGAGGAGCCAAAAATTTCTAGAATTAAACTTTTTTTCTTAACCTGATTTTTGGGTTTATATGACTGTTAAAAGATAATTGGTGAAGAAAAAATCATATAGTGGTGAACTTCTTTTTTTGCTACAGCCATTTGAAAGTACCCAATTTTGATGATTTTTCCATTTTTCATCAATTTTTACCCACTTTTGGGCTATTATCATGAAAAAAATCACAATTTCACAATTAAACTTTTTTTCATAATTTCACTTAAGATGAAGTGGAACAATAAAAAAAAACTTAACTTAAAAAAACTATGGGTAGGTGTTAATATAAGAAAGTTTTATACAATTTTGTTGCTTTTTCGTGACAAATTTACCATGTTGACAATTTTGTAAGTTTGGGATTTTTCTCTTTTTGTAGAACGAAAAGCATGTCATTTCAAATTCTTTGTTATAAATGATTGAAAAAATACACATCTAAGAAATTTGAAAAGAAAAAATTGATATGGGATGTACATGTATCTGGTAAAATCATTTCTTGTACCCCTCACCCATTTTCTCAACATTTTGGCTTATGAGACTGACTTGATTGGTTTATAAAATTTGATTTTTTTTTTCACTCAAAAATTACTTATTGTAAATACATAATTTTTTCACAGAGTTAAGTTTGATTATAAATTTTTTTAAATTCATTGATATTTTCCACTTTTATCACATGTTTTGGAAATAATTCCAGAACGAGATTTCAACGAGACTGAAACGTCAGAAGAATACATCCTTAATTAACACAACAGTCTTACAGAAGAAGGCATACTATAAAATCATGAAAGTGAAATTTTTTAAAATAAAGCACATCAAAATTCACAACTGCTCCAGTAGTTATTCACACAGGACAAAGATCGATTTTCTATTTTTACATTCACCCTATAAGTAAACATAAAAAATGTTCTACTTTATTTTATAAAAAAAAGATCAATACAGAAGCAGAATATTAGTATTTATCGCATTGACAGAACCTTAAGTTTTTTGATCTTTAAAGATCCATTTATTTCAATGATATTGAGAATGGCAAAGTTTCACTCGGTCTCCCATCCAAAGTACTAGTTTTCTAGTGTTAATTAAAAAAAAAAAAAAAACAGTACCAGCAAAACTAACAAATAAAAACAATACTGGTTTTGCAACATTGTACGACAAAAAATTGCAATTTTTTATCAAGAAAATAAATAATTGGATGTTAATAAGTTTTTTTATTATTAATTGTTTTTGGCTTTTGACTAGCTTTCAGTAACTGCGAGTACTCTCAAATTGTACTTTCGTGTTATTTGACCTGTTGATACAATTTGTAATGTATTTTTGTTATTTAATGTTTACTTATTTTGTGTAATAATTCGTCTCATTATTTTCAATATTTACCACCTTTGATAAGTGTTTAGTATGACGATAAATTTCACTTCTGCTCTCGTACTATGAACAACAAAATTATTTATTTTGTAAAAAATATTTCCGTACTCTATGTATACCTTACAACAAAATTATTTTTATTTACCTGTCTACGTTATTTTATTTGGCGGCATTTTGTCCAAGGTTATGGTTGTCTTTCTGATATTGTTTTACATCTAACCCCTTGTTTTATTAATTTTGTATTAACATTGTGTCATAGATCAAATTTATTCGTTCAGTGTATGTTCACTTGTTTTTGTTAATATGTCTTTTGATTGAGTTAAGCCATTGCAATTGATATTTTATAGTGTGTCTTTCTATGTTGTGATGTTACACTATTGTTTCAGGTTAGGGTGGAGATTGGCGCCTATTAAAACGTTTAAACCCGCTGCATTTGTTTGCGACTGTCCTAAGTCAGGAAACTGATGTTCAGTGGTTGTCGCTTGTTGATGTGGTTCATAAGTGTTTCTCATTTCTCGTTTTTCATATAGATTAAACCGTTGGTTTCCTGTTTGAATGGTTTTACACTAGTCATTTTTGGGGCCCTTTATAGCTTGATGTTCGGTGTGAGCCAAGGCTCCGTGTTGAAGGCCGTACTTTGACCTATAATGGTTTACTTTTACAAATTGTGACTTGGGTGGAGAGTTGTCTCATTGGCACTCATACCACATCTTCTTATATCTATTTAAAAAAGTTGTGAAAAAAGAAATTGTAATGATCAACAATTCGATGCATACCCTATGGGAGGGAGATTAACCTACCAGCGCTAACCTTTTTGGCACACAATGTCACGGTGCAGTAGTGCATCGCAAATTACGTTAATGGTGAATAAGGTAACTAAAATGATAAATGTGTACTGTTATACCTAGCACTCTTAACCATTGATATAAAATAACAAATTATGCAGAGAATTATCATGGTAAATTAATTTTCTCTCTTTAAGGCTCTCGGTAGAAAATTATTGGTTTGTTGACAGACACTGTGCGTGAAAACTTGAATGTTTTATTTGTATTTTTTAAAATAAGAAGAGAAGCTGTGATATGGTTGCCCGTGAGAAAACTCTCCAGAAGAGACGAAATGACATAGAAATTAACAACTATAGTTTATTTGTCTTCCTACAGATTTGTTTAATTACTAATTTGGTGGTGTTTCGAACTTATCATAAATTTCAATTGAAATCGGAATTATATGTGAGAGGCCAGTAAGAAGTTAAAATTATCAGATCATCGGAAGAAAGACTGTTTAACTGTATGAGAAGGTATTTCACGCATTTGCTTTTAAATAATGAATAATTTTCTCAGAGCTGAATATATCATTTTTCACTGTTTAGTTCTATTAAAGATATAACAGTTAAATGTAGGGTGACAAATATAGTTTAATATTATTTTGTGTACGAGAAACATAATAATTACTAATAAGATGCGAATAACAACGGTAAATGTTTTAGAATGTATTTAAAAGTGATATCTGTACTTTTGTGTTAATACAAGGTTACATCGGAGAGAATCAGTTTCAATAGAGATTTCCAATAAAATAACATTACTCGACATAACCAACCTATCTTCCCATATCTCGGCCTATTGCATTAAAGGACGACGGAAGGGAGCATAGACTGCATAAGTTTTTGGCTCGTTGAATACACATACTTTGTTGCAACAGATTCTATTTAAAAATTAGCAAAATCTGTTATTTTAATTCTTTACATATTTTGTTAATAAATTTGGAATAATTTTATTGACAACAACCTTTCAAGAGAATAATTATTTCAGTTACCGGTAATCAAATGCACCGATCATTACTTCGTCATTTCACTTGACCCATATATTTATCTCTCAAGCAATAAATTCTTAAAGCAACTAAAACAAAATTAAGTTTGAAAAAATAAAAATAATGGAATTTGAAGCGAGATGATATTCTCATTTTTCATTTTATAAGTTATAAGATTAAAAAAAGAATTTCAAACACGCCGGAATGTAAAAGGTGTACACGACTTGCTTCTTCTTTTTTTTTTAGCATACTTCTATATTTTATTTCAAGATACTTTTGTCAGAGGTAGAAATTCAGATCACTGATGCATATTTCTGGTAGTACTTTGTCACCTTTCCGTAGAATTTTACCAAATGGAATTTATGAGGACGCATCTTTAAGAAAAAATATGATTTCACTTTACTGATTCAGTTAATGTTTTTACTTCTTGTCTTTAATTATAGTGATGTATTGATACTAGGAAGTGTCCTTACAAACGTATGCGTAATTTAACGTCATTGCCCTTTAATTGTTTTTCTAAAATGTTTGTCGTTTAACTTATGCAAATACGTATGCAAAAAGAACATGCACGGGATATTTGTTTAAAGTTTTGTTAAGTAGGATGGTAATTTTATTTTAAATGACCAACCTATGATAGCAATAGGGATATTATATTTACTGTTCAGTGCATCCGTCAGTTTTTCCGTTCCGTTCAAAATATAAAAGTAACGTTTAAAATTATATACCAAATTAGAGTTTGACCCGGATTAAGCGGTGCACTGAACATAATGATCATGTGAAGTGGCACGGTGTCTTAAGATTAAATGCCACATATTCTTGTTGCAAATGTTTTGATTAATACATGTAAATGAATATGTTTCTTCCATATTCATTACTGTCTCATTGGTCTTGTGGTAGCGTGCTCGCCTCAACAATAACCCCTCCAGGGTGAGCGGGGAATAGAAATATTGTCACTATTGGTCTTGTTCCGACCGGCAGTTAAACCAATGCCAAGGTGGGGCGTCATTTTGGCTGTGCGGGATGTACAAGTACGCAGTCACGTCCGGTCATAGTGAGGACGTTAATTCAGATGCCTCTTGTAGAGAGAATGCCACGCTCTCTGCGCACGTTAAATATGCATGAAATGTTTGCCATTGAACGTTAAGCAACCAACTATCAATCAATCGACAGTAGCGTTACTTGAATTTTATTTCTGGTGAAGCAAATGATTTGAATCTTGGCAGTCAAAGCCTCAACTTGGTTAAAAGACGTTAATGCCAGTAGGGAGTGGACAGTTAATTGAAAATCTGAATAGAAAAATAGTTTTCAGCATTTACAAATGCAAGAAAATTATAATTTAATCATGTTTGATTAATTAATTAATTGATTGTTGTTGCCGGGCATTAAAAGAAGAAAACTGCATGCATATTCAGGACAAGTAAAACAAAATAATACCATTGATATGTATACTAGGTCGACCATGATAACAGCATAAATTTCAATCGTACCTGGGAAAAAAGAGCATGTTACAAAGGGGCAGACATTTTGTCTTGCAACAGGCCCCCTATGGATCCCTGGTTCTGTTCCGTGTAGAACTAATGTACGCACCTACATTAGATTTGATTAGACGTCCTCACTGCTACTGGACGTGGCTGTGTATTTAAACATCCAGGACAACCTAACGGACGACCCTTCTAAGCATGTTATAATGTTGAATACAATCTTGTATAGAGTACATACTGGTACATTCCGCAACGCTAAGGAAACACCCAAAAGAGGGGATGGTAGATGACCATACTCTTGATAGGTCACACACTAGCACACAGATCTTGTCTATGAAATATAAATCTAGATTTGTGGAATTTTATCATGAAATAATAATATTTCGAATGCGCATTAATCAATATATTCCAATGAAACTGTTGGTTTAATTCTCAGTATTGAATTAAAAACAGGTCCTGATCAAAACAAAAATAATTGACAGAATTATATGTATGGCCTCCTCTAA